GCAGACCCACTGCATGGCTGTGATCAGCAGCTGGGAACTTCCATCTTGAGACATAACCATGAGGGAGGGAGAGAGAGAAAAAGACCCAGGACAGTCTTTTGAAACCTCAAAGCCCATCCATCCCCAGTGACACACCTCCTCCAACAAGGCCACACCTCGGAGTCCTCCCAAGCTTCCACCAACTAGGGACAATCTATTAGAAAAAATGAGGGGGGATGGAGGGATGGGATTTCCATGTAAATAAACACAATTAATAGAAAACCCTTAAATAAAAATTAAAATGAGCCAGCAGTGGTGGTGAAGGGCTTTAATCCCAGCAAAGAATTTAGTCCCAGGCAAAGGTAGGCAAATCTCCAGGCCAGCTTGGCCTACAAAGCGAGTTCCACAACAGCCAGGGCTACACAGAGAATCCTGTCTTGAAACAAAACAAAACAAAACCAAAAAACCAAAACCAGACAAACAAAGATGGAGAAGAAATCTAAAGACAGAACTCAGTGGTAGAACACGTGCCTGGCGTGTGCAAATGTCCTGGATCCTGTCCTCAGCAACATACACACATGTACACACACACACACACATGCACGATCAGGGTTGGGTTCCATGTATGATTTAGGAAAAATATGATTCAGAGCAGTATTACATGTACTGTACGGATGCAGGCAACAATTCAAAATGTAGAATTAGCCATGCAAAACTATTCTCATTAATTTTCTTTTTTTTTAAAGATTTTATTTATTTATTATGTACAGAATCCATGTATGCCTGCAGGCCAGAGGGTGCCAGATCTTATTACAGATGGTTGTGAGCCACCATGTGGTTGCTGAGAATTGAACTCAGATCTTCTGGAAGAACAGTCAGTGCTCTTATCCGCTGAGCCATCTCTCCAGCCCCTCTCATTAATTTTTTATTTTAATGCTATTTTATTAATATCTCATCTATTTGTGTAGGGGTCTGTGAGTGTGCCACATGGTCAGACAACTTTAACTTTCCTCAGTCATTTCTCTCCTGCTAACAAATAGGTCCCGGAATTGGAACGCAGCCATCAGGGTTGGTGGCAGGCACCTTCATCCGCTGAGCCATTTCTCCAGTCCCTTATTTCTCTCTCTGTGTTTCTCTCTTGCAATGCTGGAGGCATTTTTGGCTTTAAATATGCTAGGCAAGGCTATACCACTAAGCTACACAAAGTGGCCCAATTTCCTTAACAGTAAACAGCAAAAGCTAAGTTGGCAAGCACCTGTATTCTCTGAACATGGGGAGGAGGGCAAGGTCATCCTTGGCTATATAGGTAGTTTGAAGCTAGCCTGGGCTACAAGAGACACCTTTGTCTCTGAAAACCAAATTAAACAAAGTCACATCAAAGAGAAAGAGAGTGAGATGTCTCCGCTGAGAAAGGACTTGCCTTGTAGTCCTGGCAGCCTGAGTTTCGCTCCTGGAACCACACAAAGGAAGAAGAGAACCAACCGGTGCCACAGAGGTGTCCCCTGACATCCATACATGTGTGGTGACATTCATGTACCCACACGGACACATCATACATGCACACTAATAATAAATACTTTTTAAATGAAGCAATAGAGGGCAGGGAAGAAACTATTCACTCACGCAATCCTTAAAAGGAATTTCAAACAGGTGGGGCATAGTGGCAATTGCCTGTAATCTCAGTACTTGGAGAAGGGAGGTAAGAGTACTGAACATTACATTCCGGTCCAACCTCAGCTGCTTCGCGGGTTTGAGGCCAGTCTGGCTACACGAAACCCCTGTTGCAAAGCAAAACAAAACAAAACAGCAGCAACAGCAAAAGCAAAGACCCTCACTTTGCTGAACGTGTTTGAATCCTGACTGAGACACCCGATCCTACACAACATTTGAGAGCAAAGGGAAATTGAACACTGATCTCATTGTATGATGCTCTTAAGGGGTGGCTGTTCTTCTGTTCTTGTCTTGCCAGAGACAGGAGGAGAGCTCAAGGCACAGGGGCAAAAGTTTTGAGCAGAGCAGAATTTAGAGAGAGGGCTGTAAAGCAGGGACACTGGACCGAGACAGGCAAGGGCTATAAGATCTGGCAGAGCAGATAACCGAAGCTGTAGGGGCCTCCTGCCTGTGTGCCATTTCTATCAAGATCCAAAGACAAAAGCCCAGGGGCTGGAGAGGTGTCATGGTGGTTAAGAGCACTCAGTATAATATTTTTCACTTCTATCCATTTATTAGAAAATTTCACCTTTTGAAGATGGGTTCCTTTTTATGTATATGTGTTATGACCGTGCGAGTGTGTGTGTGTGTGTGTGTGTGGTTTTTTTGAGACAAGGTCTCACTGTGGAGTTATGACTGGCTTGGAACTTGCTGCGTAGAACAAGTTGGCCTCAGTTTGGAGAAATTCTCTTGCCTCCGTCTCCTAAGTGCTGGGCTATGGTGTGAACCACCATGTCTTTCCTGCCAACATGTCTCATCCAGTTTCTAGCTCCTGAGCCCTTAATGGATATTGTAGATACGTGAAAAACCTTATTCTATGTCATCTGTTGGTTTTATGTATAAACAAACAGGGCTTCATGTAGCCCAAACTTGCTATGTAATGTAGGATGACTTTGAACTCCTGATCTTCCTGTGACCTGAATGCCCAGATGACAAGCATGTGCCGCCGTCCCTAGTTTATGCCAGCAGTGGAACCCAGGGCTTTGTCCCTGTAATGATATCAGTTGAGTTGCATCCTCAGCAAAGATCAGTTTTTACTAACTATTCAATTTGCAATTATTAAATTCACCCTCAATAGCATTTTGAATGTGCTACATACATACATACACACACACATACATACATACATACATACAATAACATACGTTCTATCAACAAGGCGCCCCAACAGTGTCTGTCCTGGGGGTAGGGAGAAGGGTTGGGGTGGGGCCCCAAGCCCCCAAATACTCACATTCATGTATTACTGCACAGTTGTCAAGGCAACTGATTCAGCTGCAATAAGAAGGGGAGAACTAGAACCTGGCCTTGGGGACTAAAAAATGTGAGGGATACATTCCTTCCTGTGTTATTGTTGGATGTGGCGCTGACATTCTGAGAACTGGGTTTCAGAAAGTCGGGAACCCACACACTGCAGGCGGATCTATCACTCCAGACTCCTTGCCCACCTACCTGCCAAGAGCGCTGGTCAAAAGCCTCATACTCGCGGTGTCTCTTGCGCCACCATGCGGTTATCTCAGACATCGCAGGCTTCTGTACGCCAAAGCCCCGCAGCCGTGAGGGATAGGAGACAGCAAGTTTAGGAGAATAGGGCTCCCTTGCCAGTATTTCATTCTTGCCTAAAAGGTGCTTAAACACGGTGGCCTTCCCCGGCTGGAGCACTCGGCTTCAGCACCGAATTCCCTTAGTCTTTCGGGTACCCTGACTCAGGTAAAAGCCTACCCTTGGTTTCATACAGAAAAGGACTCAGGAAGAGGAGCCAATAGGAAGCAGAAATTGAGAAGCATTTGAAACACAGATTTTCTGCAGAGGGTTAAGAAAAAGAAGGCTCTGGGGCGGAAAGTCTAAGATTTGTGGTGTGGGTTTCCCCAAGAGTTCCCCCACTCTCTTTAAAATGGCGCTTTCTCCTAGGTGGGTGGGTTTGGAAGTTGCTGTCGTAGAAGGCTTGCTAGGACTTTGGACAGGACATTACAGAGGAGCACAGGGCAGACTTACTGATGGTAAAGCTGTTCATTCCACAGATACAGCAAGGTCAGGGAACATTCCTGTAAGCAAAGCCAGCTGTGTCTTCTTAAAAAGCTTTATTTTCATTTTATGAAAAAGAATTTAGGCTGGCATGGTGGCACTCAATAGCTAGACGCAGGGAGGCAGGTGGATTTCTTTGAGTTGGAGGCCACCCTAGTCTACATAGTGCATTCTAGGCCAGCTGAGGCTACAGAGTGAGACCCCTGTCTCAAAACAAACAAAGACAAAACAAAAATTACAAACCAGAACCAAAGAATCAAAGGGGCTGGAGACATGGTTCAGTAGTTAAGAGCACTTTCTGCTATTCCAGAGGACTTGCGTTCAGTTCTCAACACCCATGTCAGCTGGCTCAGAACTGTGTATAACTCCAGCTCCTAAGGAATTTGATGCCTCCGCGCCTCTCTGAACACCACCCCATAACTAAAAAGATAAACTGTATCTTAAAAAAAAATACAAGATTGAAATTTTGGAGGCCGGAGAGAAGGTTAAGGCATAAGCTCACTTATGGCTCCTGTAGAGCACTCTCAGGGTGGCTCACAACTGTAGCTCAGGTACAGGAAGGAGTTCTAAGGGTCTGTGCTGGCCCATCTGGGCTCTTACATCTGTGTGGCATGTAAAACTCACGCAGGCACACACACACATAAATAAATCTCCTTGAAAAGATCATAATTTTTATTTTCTTATTTTTAAATATAGTTTATTTTATATGCACAGGTGTCTTGCTTGCATGTGGGTCTGTGCACCCTGTGCTTGCAGTACCCACTGAAGTCAGAAGAGGGCGTTCTACCTACTGAACTACAGCCTCAGCCCAGACTGCAGACTGCAACAGGACACTGTGAAAGGCTGAGCTAAAGAACAAAAAATTAGATGCAGAGATTAATGTGTACACTGTAAACCATGTCTCTGCCTGTTCCTTAGCCAGCTGCCTTGGTTTAGAACCTTTAGAAATATCAATACATAAAAGCATTCTCTACTTTTGTTATTTTTTTTCCAGTTCATAACCTCTTTGGCTAACTCCAGTTAATGATATTAGTAGCAGACTTAAATGGCCAAAAAAAATAATAATAATATATGTGAGTTTAAGAAGACTGCGCTTGCAATCACTGCCTTCTCGGTGTACGGTAAGTTCTGACAGCAGCAAGCCTTTGGCACAGCAACTACTCACTAGCCCTGTGGAAAGAGACAGGGCCCTGCAGGACTTGGTGCATAAAGTATCACAATTACTTCATTAATAGACTTAGTAACATGCCCTAAAAGGATGACGAGTAAAGAAAGACACAACAACAATGCATTATTTCAAAATGTGTATTTAGAGTCATCCCATCAAAATGAAGCCGAATCACACTTTGAAAGCATCAATGCAGCTACCTTTATCTTTTAGGGTGCATTTTCCTCTGGGCTTCATTTGGTCTCTGCCACTTGAGGTGTTCTTACAAGCTTCATTTACACAGAGCACTGAGGCTGGGAGATGGGATCCTAACAAAACCACGAATCTTGGATACATCAGAAATTCTAAAAACCCTATGGAATCTCAAAAAACTTAATACCAGTCATGGAAAAGCATTGTCAACATAAAACTTAGGCACTCTGCACTTTGGAATAGCCACAAAAATATTACAGTAAGAATTAACGCTTTTGTGATTACATCTACTCAAAGGGAATCTCAGTTAAAATCCTCACTAATTAAATAACATTTTACATTAGGGCCCATGGAATCCTGTTGATTACTGAACAATGTGTAGCACTGGGTTATGGCTAAATGATGCTGAACTAGGCCATTGCTGACCTTGGGCTCACCCGTCAGGTGCTCTCCATTGTTTTCACTGAAAGATTCTGCAGAACTCAGTGACAAGCACCCCACCCTCCCCTAGTCCATTTCACTCTCCTAGCTGGGCTTCGGCTACAATTGCTTTCTGAGCTGCAGAGCTTCAGCCAATGGGAGTAGGAGACTGGGAAACTCAAGCTGAGCACACGGACCCCAGGTCATTTGCTCAGTTACTTTATGTTCAAGTGCAGCACAGAGCTGGGGCAAGCTGAGCGACTGTGCTGCTGGTGTGGAGGTAAGGGAAAGGCAAACCGAACTTGTCACTCACTCTGAACAAGGTGGAGGATACCCAGCCGGTGGTCTACAGCGGAGAGGGAGGGGTGACACCACTTGCTAAGATGCTCAGCACTCTGAATAAGCTTTCCAGCAATGTGACCCAGTGTGGCTGCGGGAGAAACTCAGGTACAAAGCCTTTCCAATGCTGGGTGGATTACAGAATCTGTGGAGGCTCCTCAGGATCAATGACTAACAATCCAGATCTAGCTAGAGACGGGGAGTTGACTGGGAGTCACACGGAAGAGACCGCAGTAATTCCCAGGGCAGGGCGTGAATAGTTCGGTGTGAGGAAGTTAATTACACTGCTAATGTTTTCTGCCTTATTTGAAGAGACAAATTAGCATAAGTAAATCACAAGTTAAGAAGACAAGCAAAACCTTTGTTTCCACTCATTAGAGGAAACCGCAGGAGCTGCAGTTAAGCCTCAGTGGGAATGCGGGATGTGGGTAGGAAGCAGAGGCGGCAGCTCCTGTTTCTGCAAACAGAATCAGAGCCAGTGACGATGCTGGGTTTTAGCTGAGGCAACTTTCCATGCCAACCGGAAGCCACAGAGCCTGTTGTATTCTCCTCTGTGTGTCAGGATCAGGACAAGCGCTCAGGGCAGAACAGTCAAGGCCACAGTCCCGCTCTGCTGCTTTAGAATGGCGACAGCTTGCTCATGAGTAACACCTTCCAGGGTCTCCCCATTGACAGCCAAGATCTGGTCACCTCGTTTTAATCGGCCGTCCTCTGCAGCTGCTCCCTATGAACAAGAAACATGACAAAATTACTAGAAATACTGCATGAACTTATTTTCAGTTATATATAAAATATAGAGTATACATGAAGCTCTAGTAAATTTCCTTCCATATATATAAATATTCTTTTTTTTTTGGGGGGGGGGTTCAAGACAGGACTTCTCTGTGTAACAGCTCTAGCTTTCCGGGAACTAGCTCTTATAGACCAGGCTGGCCTTGAACTCACTCACCTGCCTCTGCCTCCCAAGTGCTAGGATTAAAGGCATGTGTCACCACTGCCCGGTTGCAAATATTCTATAATCTGAGTAAAACATCCCAAATCCAAAATAGTGCTGTTCTGAAGACTTCAAATAAGACATGTTCAGTCTATTCTCATAATGTTCAAACTCATGTCGCAGACTGCCAGGGAAATTTTCTGAGTTGGCTTGTATCATCATCTTTACCTCCCTCCCTCTCTCTCCTTTCCTTCCTTTCTTCCCATCTTTTCTTTTTTTCTTTCTTTCTTCCTTCCTTTCCTTTTTCCCTCTCTTCCTCTTCCTCTCTTCAATTTCTTTCTTTCTTTCCATCCTTTCTTCTCTCTCTCTCTCTCTCTCTCTCTCTCTCTCTCTCTCTCTCAACAGGTTCTCACCATGTAACTCTGCAGTCTAGAACTTACTATGTTGCCCGGGCTGGCCCCAGAGTCACAGAGATCATCTGTCTCTACCTTATGAGAAGGCCTATTTTTTGTTGGCTGAGAGGATTAAGACCCCAGGTGGCTCTAACTTTAAAGTTTCTTTTTAAGACTTATTTTAAAAACTACGAGTCTGTGTGTGCAGGTGTGTGCACATGAGTGCAGGTGTCTGAGGGAGGCCAGAGTCGATGATTCTCCTGCAGCTGCAGCTCCAGGCAGTCATGAGCTGCTGATGGGGACATGGGTGTTGGGAGCCGAACTCCGCAAAATGAGCACACACTCTTAACTCTTGAGCCATCTTTCCAGCTCACGAATTTGGAGTTTTCAACCAAACATGCACCTGACTGGCAGCACTCTAAGTGACTCTCTCAATTTCTCCATGCTTCCAGCTCCTATAATGCAGACATGTCACACTTCTGGAGTGTCAAGAGTCACTTCGGGCTACATTAAATAATCTATCAGTCAAGGAAGAGAATTATTAAAAAGAAGTTTTGATCTCTAAACCTATGCCCATGTTTCGGAGCTTCAGAAGCCTGAGAAGGGAGACAGTATGAGGGGAGTGTCCTATGTGAAGGCAGCACGGGGCACATTAGAGTTCTGTGCCCTCCATGTGGGAGGAACAATGTCAGGGTAATCTGAGAAAAGCTTTTTTTTTGGGGGGGGGGGGAATCTCTCTCAGCTTTAGGCTTACTGATTTTTAATTTATTTTATAATTTGGATATTCTGGCCAAATTTAATGAGCAAAGTGAGAAAGACAAAAAGGTTAATGATCTCCAGTGCTACAGGACCAGAAATAATGGTTGGTGTTATTATTTGCAATGGAATACGCCCTCAGAATATCTGCACATTTAGTGTGTGTGCACATCTGTCACAGTGCACGTGTGGAGGCCAGAGGACAACTTTTGGGAGTCAGTCCTTTCTTACACCATGTGAGTTCTAGGATCAAACAAGCCAGCAAGCTTGCAGGCAGGCGCCTTTAGCAACTGAGCCATTTCGACAGCCCCAGAAATATTCTACCAAGATTGACTACACTAAGTGAGCTATGAGCCAAGCCTTAGAAAATGCTTTTCTTTCTTCTTTTAGATTCAGAAACTTTAAATTTTAGGTAGGTTTCACTTAAAAAAAAAAAAATCTCACCTTCCTGTCAGGCAGAGGTGGTGCATGCCTTTAATCCCAGCACTTGGGAGGCAGAGAGACAGGGGGATCTACAGAGCTAATTACTGGACAGTCAGGGCCACACAGCAACTCTGTCTCAAAAAGCAAAGCAAAACAAAACAAAACACATTTCTTTAAAAATATACCACAAACAAACAAAACCAAAAACCAAGCTAGGTATGGTGACTCATGCCTGCAATCAAGGTTGGAGTGGGGTGGGGGAGTGGGGAGAGGAAGAGTCTCAAGGTCATCCTTGGCTAGTGAGTTCAAGGCCAGTCTGAGCTACAAGACCTTCTGTCTCACAGGGAAACAACTCCCCCAACCAAAATGAAAGAAAGAAAATAACAGACAAGGATAGTCAACAGTCACGAAGCGCATGCTGTTCCTCTCACTTGGGTGCAGGATGCCTTTCCAAGGGCCATTCGTGAGGGCTTCCCACAGCACCTCAGCCCACTCACTGCTCCCACTGGTGACATCCCACTTCGATTCCATGATTGTTTCTTTCATTATTTTATTTCCTTGTTTTTATTTTTTGGATTTATTTAATTTTAGACAGTGTCTTACTCTGCAGGCAAAACTAGCTAGCTTCAAACTTGAAGCCTCCCTCCTAGGCCTCAGTCTTCCAAATGCTGAAATCACAGCGCCTACCACAACAGACTCTCAGGCTGGGTACCACTGTTACACTGGGGAGCTGCCTCCTCTGATTAGCTGCAGTTCATTAGATAAGTGAGTCCCATTTCTGCCTAGTGTGTCTCAGCCACACTCCACCACGAGGGACAGGTGGGTAAATCTGTGGCTGTCTAGAGTCATCCAAAAGCAAATACCCATTGATTCAAGAGCCCAGATAGTAGTTAAGAGCTGGGCAAGTAACAGCAAGCTTGTGTTAATTAGCAAAATTTTCTAGGAAGATACAGGGTCTACCTTTACTTCTATAAAAACCTCTTCTGCTGGGCGGTGGTGGTACACACCTTTAATTCCAGCATTTAGAAGGCAGAGGTGGACCTGATCTCTGTGAGTTGAGGCCAGTCTGGTCTGCAGAGTAAGTTCCAGGACAGCCAGGGCTGTCACAAAGAGAAACACTGTCTTGAAAAACAAAACAAAAACCCAAATAAATAAATATTAAAAATATTTTTTTAATTCTATGAGAATTTCATACAATATATTTTCATCAAGAACCTATATTTTTTAGGACTATAATTCAACAGAAAGTCACTGGATCAACTAATAAATAATGATTGTAGTTTTAAAAGTGAATGAAAAACTGGTAAGAAGCCAGGTGTGGTGGCATGTGCCTGAAGGCCTACTCAGCAGGTAGGACCAGGAGGATCAAGAGCTCGGCCACAGCATGAGTGAACAAAAGCTAAATTCATAAATAGCAGGTGGAAGAAACACTTGGGATGTTTATCCTAAGTACTTTTCACGGGTCTTCAGAATTTACAATAAAGTTAAATGCCAATCTATAACTCACAGTGAAATTAAAAATGACTATTCTAGAAGCCACATAGAAGCCACAGGAGTGGTGGACACTGATCACCTAGGGCTTGCTGGGAGTAGTGTGGGGCTGTTGTCATTTGCTGTTTTGTTTTCTTTATTTAAGACAGGTTCTAAAGCATAGCCCAGGCTACCTTGAGTGTACAGTGATGCTCCTGTACCAGCCTCTAGAGAGCTGGGATGACAGGCCTGTGCCTATACCTCTTTTGGAAATAGTTAATTCCCGAATCACTATGAGTCAGTATTAGACCGATTTATCAAACACCTGGCAGAGAAACGTAAGCTGACAATTTCCAAGTGACCTGAGAGCTTCTACCGTGTGTGTGTGTGTGTGTGTGTGTGTGTGTGTGCATGTAGTTGTGTGGGCTTGCCTTCCATGTCTTTTGTGGATGCTAGAGGCTAGTGTTTGGCATCTTCCTCTATCATTATCTTTAATTATTTCCACTTTTATTTTTGGAGATGGCGTCTCTCACACCTGGAGCTCACCAATTCAGCTACCCCGTCTCTGGCCTGCAGTGCTACCTTCTGTGGGTGTTGGCCATCTCAGCTCAGGTCTTCCTGCTTACAAAGCAGGTCCTTTACCCACTAATTCAGCTCCATGGCCCATGATATTCTTTCCCCACTCTCCCTGGCTGTCCTAGAACTTGATCTGTAGACCAGGTTGACATTGAACTCACAGAGATCCACTTGTCTCTGCCTCCTGAATGTGAGTGTTGTGATCAAAGGTGTGCACTGCCAACACCAAGACCCTGATTTTGAATCCCTTTCAGCCTAGAATAACACATTCAAAGTCACCCACCAGTGCGGGTGCTGCTGAAAATGCTCCTACAATCTGTGAGTGCCAGCTTCCTCACTGAAGTACACAGAGAGAGAGGACTGCTTCTTGAGATCCCATTGTTGTGACACTTCCTCCCCTGGCAGGGCTTTCCTATGAGACCTAAATGAAATACCACCGTCCCCACACAAGCACAACCCACAGCAAACCAGTACAAAGCACTTAAAAGTCTCACTAGCTTTGATTTTAAGAGAACAGTAAAAGGAGAAAAATACCTTTGGAAATATAGTCTTGACATAAATTGGCAGGTCTCCGTGTGGACTTCCATAACCCCCTACAATACTAAGCCCCAATCCTGCAGAGCCTTTCTCCAAAGTAATAATCTTAGGTGCAGGTGTTCTGAAAGCACAACACATGCTGTTTAATTCAAGAGCAGACACTGAGAGGGAGTTCATTTTAATGGAAGCGCACAGATTGGAGAGGGACTTCCACACTGCAAAGCTACGAATGCCATTTTATCAAATCAGACTCTCAGGAAGCAATCTGGAAACATTGTACATTTTTCATGCTACATCAGCTCATCACCAATGTGCTTGTGGTTTAGGGCTTTCTGATTAAAACAGTCACTACAGCGGTGACACACCTTTCCCTATGCTTGGTTCCTTTCTTCTCCTTTTTTATGTGGGCTGAGTTGGCCTTGAACATCTCAGCCTCTTGCCTTTGCCCTCTAAGTTCCGAGATTCTGGGCATCAGCTATTATATCCATCTCTGTGCTTAGTTATTGTTATGTCACTTGCTTTGTTTTATTCAGATGGGATCTTGTTGCGTAGCCTAGGCTTTTCTGTATGGGGTGTGTGTGTGTGGTACTGGGGATAATACCAATGGCCTTACGCCTGCTGGTCCTAGGAGCTGTATGTACCACTGGGCTACATTCCTAGCCCATTTTTATTTTATTTTTGAGATAGAGTTATGCTAAGTTAAGAAAGGTCAACATGCAGCTCAGACTGGCCTTGAGATCACGATGCTCCTGCCTCAGCCTCTTGAGCAGCTCAAATTCTAGGCATGTACAACAAGGTTTGGCTCAATTCTTTTTTTGGGGGGAGGGGGGTTCAAGACAGGGTTTCTCTGTGTAACTGTTCTAACTGTCCTGGAACTCGTTCTGTAGGCCAGGCTGTCCTTGAACTCACAGAGATCCATCTGCCTCTGCCTCCCAAGTGCTGGTATTAAATCCGTGTGCTACCACCACCCGGCTGTTTGACCTAATTTTTAATGTGTTATATATAATATATAATATATATACTTTAATGTGCTTGTGTACATGTGCATGCCAAAGTCAGAGGACAACTTTTTTTTTTTTTTTTTTTTTTGGTTTTTTCGAGACAGGGTTTCTCTGTGGTTTTGGAGCCTGTCCTGGAACTAGCTCTTGTAGACCAGGCTGGTCTCGAACTCACAGAGATCCGCCTGCCTCTGCCTCCCGAGTGCTGGGATTAAAGGCGTGCGCCACCACCGCCCGGCTCAGAGGACAACTTTTAGGGCTCACTTCTGTATTCTACCAGATGGGTTCTGGGGATTGAACTCAGGATGCTAGTATTGACAGTCAGTGCCTTTACCCATTGAATCATCTCACCTAATCCCCTCCCCCCGTTTTTTTTAGTGTGCTTTGAACTGTAGTTCAGGTTAATCTGGAACTCACTCTGTAGCCCAGACTAGCCTTGCCCTCACAGTAATCAATATTCCTTCCTCAGCCTCCTGAGTGCTGGGATCACAGGAGTGAGCCACTGTCACACCCAGATAAGCTTTTAACCTTATCTTAGTCAAAAACTGAGAACTACCCTGATTTAAAATCTGACCTATTCTGTTTAAAGAAGGTGTTGTGCGGACCGACCGCACAGTCAGCAATACACAGGTCAGGCCAGGGTGTTGGAAGCCTGCAGTCCCCAGGTGAGCCCCTAACCAGCAGTGGCAGGCTAACAACTCTTGGGAACCGATGCTCCTTTCCTATCCAAATGCCCCTAGCACTCCCTCTAGCATGGGAAGACCCTTTTCCAAGCCCATCTCGAGTAGGGTGTTCTCCTGCACCCTTCAGGAGAACTGGCTCAGTCTTTCTGTCCTTTGTCCCTATTCCACACTATTGTAATTAGCACATCTTTTCCTCTCCCCAGCTACCTGTCCCTTCTATCTTAGCTATCCATGTGTTCTCTACAAACTCACGCTCATGGCTGTATAAACAGGATCACCCGTGTGGAGCAAGATGGGTTTGACACTCTGTTCCAAATGCGTGACGGAGGCTGCCGTCAGTGTGGAAGTCTCTCTCTCAGGCAGCACTACAAAGTTTAGATCACCTATGTGTGCTCAAGCTCTCTAATCTCCACTTACCCGAGGAGTCCAACTCCTTCTCCCTAGAACTAGTTTTCTTTTGATACAGGGTCTCGTGTAGCCAGTGCTGGCCTTGAGCTGGCTATGTAGCCAAGGGTGACTCTTTTGTTTCCACCTCCCAACAGCTGGGATTAGAGGCTTGGAACACTAGGCTTGGTTTTACATGGTGCTGGGAATCAAACCAAAAGCTTTATGCATGCTAGGCAAGTGCCATACCAACTGAGCTACATCTCGGCCCTTCTTCCCACACTATGTTATTTAAAGGTTAAAAACCCCCCAAAATTCTGGGGTCCTCATCTCTATCATCTGATTTGTGGTGACAGGGTCTTTTTCTTTTCCGTTTGAGACAGAGCTGTGCCACACAGCCCTGGCTGGCCTTGAACTCACAGTTATCCTGCTGCTTCTGCTTCTCAGGTGCTGGGATGTACACCACCTTTCCTACCTGGCTCAAGGAGGTACACACTCCGTGCTAGCAGCATGCCTTGCTTCGTGGCAGCATGCATGGCTGAGAGGCAGTCACCTGTTCCAAACTTAGCCACTCACAGATCAGAAAACCGTGAAGAGGTATGTGACCTTTGATTATGTTCTTCTGATTAAACCTTCCCTGAAACTTTGCCTAACAAATTGAGGTGCTCAGGTTATTGTGTTAGAGCTAGTCTCAGGGACCTGCATACGTGGGCCCATTTGCAATCTGGAGCATGTGTCATGGATTACGTCAATTTATCTCATAACACCTTAATATTTCTTCTTTGAAAATTATTTGTATTGTTTATAATTATGTAATGTGGTGTGTGTGTGTCCATGTGAATGCAGATACCTGTGGAGTCCAGAAGAGGGTGTTGGATTCTCTAGAGTTGGAGTTACAGGTGGCTGCAAACTGCCTGACATGGCTCTTGGGAACTGAACTCAGGTTCTCTTGAAAAATAGTATGTGCTTTTAACCTCTGAGCTACATTCTTAACTGTCTTAACATTTCTTCCCTCCCCCTCTTCTCTCGATTTTTTTTAAATTTTATTTTTGGTTTTTTTTTTTTTTTTTTTTTTTTTTTTTTTGGTTTTTTCGAGACAGGGTTTCTCTGTAGCTTTGGAGCCTGTCCTGGAACTAGCTCTGTAGACCAGGCTGGTCTCGAACTCACAGAGATCCGCCTGCCTCTGCCTCCCGAGTGCTGGGATTAAAGGCGTGCGCCACCACCGCCCGGCTCTATTTTTGGTTTTTCAAGAGGGTTTCTCTGTAGCTTTGGAGCCCGTCCTGGAACTAGCTTTTGTAGACCAGGCTGTCCTTGAACTTACAGAGACCTGAATGCCTCTGCCTCCCAAGTGCTGAGATTAAAGGTGTGTGCCGCCACCACCTGGCATGCCTTTCTTTCTTAAAGCTATGCTCTCTCTCTTTCTCTCCCTCTCTCTCTTCTGTGGCTCTGGCTGTCCTGGTACTCATTATGTAGACCAGGCTGGCCTTGAACTCACAGAGTGATTATAAGTGTGGGTTACCACGTTCAGTTTTGTGTGGTACTGAGAACTTAACCCATGGCATTGTAAATGCTAGCTAGGCACCCTACATACTGAGAGATACAGCCCTCATTTCTCCACCCTGACTTTGTTTTAAAGAGCTGTTGTAGCTTGAAATGCTGTTTTCGTATTTTGTCAGATTTGATGGCATGCAGAATGAGGAAAAAGTATAACCAACTTAATATTCTTTCTTTAATAGACACACCCCAACGTGTCAATTAGGTTGATAAACTATGACCCCCTGAATAAAGCTCCTTGTATTTGGCTGTGATCATGAGATCCTGAAAGGAATTATCAACTAATAGCATTCACCGAGCACACACTTGACCAGGTGCTGATGGTGCCGAGGAACAGCTTCAGGCAGCAGTGCTCAAAGTGCAGCTGTTCTCCGCCTGTCTGGTCGGATAACCCTAGGGAGCCTGCTAAGACCAGGCGCCCAGATCTGCTGGGAACCATGTCCTCAGAGACTCCACAAATCGTGTCTTGGAGTGTGTGTGCAGGCGCCTACATAGGCAGGTGGAGTTCAGGGGAGGATAGCTTGTGAGATTTGGTTCTCGCAAGCTTTGGACCCGGAGACTGAACTCCATCATCAGACTTGGTGGCAAGTGCCTTTATCTGAAGAGCCATCTCACTGGCCTTCTGTTCTTATTCTTAGAACATTTCAGCTATAGAAACACTGCTTTAATGAATAACCTTGCAATGACCAGCTGTCACGACACATGCCAGCCAAAGGGACAACAATATTTCACCTCAGAACAAGGTTTTAGCTTAGCGAGTTAAGGAAATGTGGCTCCTTGCATCTTAGAGCAGAGCAGACCTAGGATATAAGCCTGTAGTTTTTTAGGACAGAGAGCACAGGCTTCTGTCAAAGCAAAGAGAAGCGGCTTGAGCGCAGGCCCAGCCATGGTCTCTGAAGGATCCTTGTGTGAAACGGAGAGCCCTGCACCTTGTCAGACCTCATCTAGGTCAGGAGAACACAGCATGCATGTTCCTCTGTCTTGAGATCACATGCACGTTAGAACCTGACGCTCAGGAGCTTGGCCCACTTTGCACTGGAATACTTACTCCGTGTCTTCTGGATGGCGGTCAGCAGTCGGAGAGCCTGCAGACATGATTTCAAGTTGAGTCGCTATGGCGCTTATATTGGTATCTGCCACAACCTGGGGAAGAGGGATGACAAGGAATTTTACTGTAAATTACAAGAATGTTGGAGAAACTATGGTTGCATTCCAATCCTCATTCGACTTAGATATGGCGCTGGACAGAAGAGACCATTCATTTTCTCTTTCCCTCACTCCCCTTTCTCTTCCTCTTTCCCCATGGTTCTCCCTTTCTTCTCCTCCATGTCCCAACAGAGAGGTGAATTCTCAGCCTTCCTGCTGCAACTCCCCAGGGCTGGGATTTCAGTGTGCACCTTCATGTTGGGCTGGAGGATTCGAGTCCCTAGTCCTTGTCGGACTCCCAGTGATCCCTGCCTCCCCAAACCATTCTTTATTCTTTTGTGGACTGGGACGGAACCCAGAGCCTCCTTGGTGAGTACGTGTCCCCAGGCACTCCTTTTAAAAACTTCAATAGACAGGAATAGGCCGGGTCTTCCTAAACTGCACAGGCTGTCTGTGGCCGGTCCTTCCTCAGCCCCCAACAGTGGCTAGTGCCGCTAGGCCCAGCTCCAGTTTCTACACTTTCACCTTTCTGACCATGCCTTCCTCTTTCCCAGACATTTTTTTTTTTTCCAAGACAGGGCTTCTCTGTAGCTTTGGAGCCTGTTCTGGAACTTGCTCTTGTAGACCAGGCTGGCCTTGAATTCACAGAGATTCACCTGCCTGTCTCTGGAGTGCTGGGATTAAAGGCATGTGCCACCACCGCCCGGCCTCTTTCCCAGACTCCTGTGCAGCAAGACGGGATCAGCTCCTGAGTTCCTATCTTTTACAACTATAAAGCCTCATGCTAAATTTAAATACCACCTGGTGATGATAATCCCCAAATCTCTGTCCCCAGTTCTACCACACTTAAGTTCAAATCTACAAGATGGGTCCCACACTGAACTCCCCAGTGTGGCGTCCATGAGGAACCCATAGCTAACATATCTCCAGTGCTCTGCCCCACAGCCTGGGTTCCTGCAGCTTTCTGTATCCCAGGTGACCATGACCTGTTCTCGTAGTTTCATGACCATCTTGGTACCATACTTGACTTCTCTGTCTCAAAGCCCAGTCCTCTTAGATGCTGAAGGCTGAGCCACAGAGTCATCTTGTGTGTGGTGCAGTCTCACTGGCTGCCCGACCACACTCTTCTGAAGCAGCTAGAACTATTTTAACATGGAGTATATGACTCCAGACTCTGCCCGAAGTCATTTGCAGAGAACCAGATGCTGCAGGGTCACGAGTTGGAGTCCTTTCAATGACCTTCAAGGTGTCCTGCCCTGTGGTAGCTCTCCTAACATTCCCCCGTCGTCAGCATACTGATCTCACTGTCCTTCCTGCTGCCCCACCCCAGAACAGAACCCAGGGATCTGGAGGGCTGACTGCACAGGTCCTGAGAGTTTTCAGGCAAGAGAGAGAGAGAGAAAGAGAGAGAGAGAGAGAGAGAGAGAGAGAGAGAGAGAGAGAGAGAGAGAGCGCTTGCGCTTGATTTGATGCAGTTTCAGAACAGACCAACAGAGGGCACACACGCCTCACTTGTGAGACAGCTGCACTGCCAGTAAAGCAGAGGAAAGGCGACAGGCCAGGGGAGGGCTGGGAACGCAGGGGAATTATCCCAGACAGGGGAAGACAGTTAAACGCAAGTGCTGCGAGTCTGAGCAATACAGTCATGGGAAGAACGATGACTAAATGGGGAGATGCTTAGGATAAAATTATACGGGGGAAAGGTCAGCTAAGCCTCTCCTTTTCCAGTAGCAGGCCTTGCTGTCGTCACAGCCCGCGCAGAGCCCCAGAGGACACTGCTGGTTCCTAAGGCAACTGTCTTCACAAACACTTCGTTCCAGCTTCCAGCCGGAGCCTCCCTGACCCACATGCTCCTGACTTTCCTGCCCTGCCAGGGTCTGCTTTCTGATATCTTTCGGCTCACCTCCTTACTCCATCACGGGCCCAGGTGGCTTCAGGCTCAGACACAGCACGGCACACACATTCCCTGGCTTAAATCCCAACAGTGTCCTCTGCCCAGCCACTGACTTGAGATTTCCATTTGACATCTCTCAGCTTATCAAAATGAAAAGAACCACAAATTTGGGTTGAGGATGTAGCTCAGTGGTAGAGCGCATGCCTAGCAAGTGTGGGGCCCTAGGCTCTGTTCTTAGAGCAGGTGCCAACACCAACCAGGTGGCTCCACCCTACTTCCTCTCCAAACTCTTGACCCCCAAACCCACCCCTGTTCAGTTAACTTTTCCTTCCATTTTTCTCTTCTTAGAAAGTGACATCTCCAGCTCTCCCATTATGAACCAATGAGGCACACACTGAAAACTTGCCATGGCTGCTGCCTGTGTATCTGAGACACACGCTGAGGTGCTATCCGTGAAGGGGCCCAGACTGCCTCCCTTGGTCCCTCCTGCCATTGAATGGGTGGCTATCCACCAGAATTCCAACCCTTCTTCAATCTGTTCATTGCTCACTTGTCTTTTAATCTCTATTACACTCCCCAGGTAACATCCCAGATATTCAGTGGTACTCCACTGCTTCAGACCTTCCAGCACTTTCCCTCTGCTCTTAGGATACAATTCTAAGCCCCTCCCCCACCTCCTAATCCCATTTCTCTCCTATACTCCTCTAAATCTTCTAGAGTTTTCTCTCTAGGAATCTCTACACAAATCAGTTTAAATAGCAGAAGTCCTGCTCCTCCTGTGACCTCCTCTAGTCACCCCCATTTAGGTTAATTCTTCCTGCTTTTCTTCTGTTTTCAACCTATTTCTCAGGAACTGGGATAGTGCAAGTGGCCATGGTTTGGGTCAGTGTGTGTGGCCATGGGTTGTTCAATGTGTGTAGCCTTGGGTTGGTTAGGACAGTGTGAGTGACCATGGTTTGGGTCAGTGTGTGTGGCCGTGGGTTGGGACAGTGTGAGTGGCCGTGGGTTGGGACAGTGTGAGTGGCTGTGGGTTAGGACAGTGTGAGTGGCCGTGGGTTAGGACAGTGTGTGTGGCCGTGGGTTGGGACAGTGTGAGTGGCCGTGGGTTGGGACAGTGTGTGTGGCTGTGGGTTAGGACAGTGTGAGTGGCCGTGGGTTGGGACAGTGCGTGTGGCTGTGGGTTAGGACAGTGTGAGTGGCCGTGGGTTGGGACAGTGTGAGTGGCCGTGGGTTGGGACAGTGTGAGTGGCCGTGGGTTGGGACAGTGTGAGTGGCCGTGGGTTGTTCAGTGCGTGTGGCTGTGGGTTGCCTCCCATCTCATCTCTGGCTCCATGAACAGCAGGTTGGTGCCCAGCATCTTAACTCCGCTGAGAAAGAACATGAGAGAATGAGCATGTCTGATGCCTTCTCAAGGGGCAGGGAGACTGAGGAAGTAAGTGGAGAGAGGTTTCCAGTCCCTTAAGGAGAGAGAAAATGTAACAAGTAGGCAGGCCCCATTCCACAGAAATGGAGTAATGACAGAGGGCTTAAAGGAGGCCCAGGCCCTGAGTTGGCTAACAAGATTTTGAGTTTTGCTTTTTTTAAAAAAAATGACATTTTTAATTCAATGAGTATTGATGCTTTGCCTGATGTGTGTCTGTGTAAAGGCATTGGGTCCCCTGGAACTGGAGTCACAGGGAGTTATGAGTTGCCATGTGGATGTTGGGAGTTGAACCGTGGTCCTCTGGAAGAGCAGCCACAGCTATTACTAACTGCTGAGCCATCTCTCCAGCGCCCACTTTTCTTTATATTTGTTTATTGTGTGTGTGTGTGTGTTAGGTGTAGAAAGAACCTGCACATGCCATCGTGAGTGGGTGGAGGTCGGAGGACAACCTGCGGGAGCCAGCTCTCTCTTTTCTCCATGTGGATTCCCAGGTTTGAACTCAGGTTGTTAGATCTGGAAGCAAGTGCCTGCACCTGCTGACCCATCTCACCAGCCCTCCACTATGTTTATGACTCCATCTTGTTTCTTTTCCTTTCTTGTGAGTTCCGAGTCTTTCTTACTTAAGTGACTCTGGACCTCAGGAACAACAGGCTTGACTGTTGGCACCAACATAGCTCTGCATGGTCAATCCTGAGAAGAGTGCCCAAGAAAATGACCAACCAGAGGACGTCCAGACCAAGACAACCTGGAGTCCTCCCGCGGGAACTCCAAGGCCCCGGGCTCCTCTTTCTCTTCTGTGACCAGGACTGCTGTGGGCAGCTGGGGTTAGGTCCCGGTGTGGCCACCCTGCCTGTTTAGTGGTCCTTTCCTGGCCTTGCCACGCTCTCAACCCATCAGTTTCTGATTTGGCAGGGAGAGGAGGTAAGGCAGGGTCTCCTATGTAGTCTAGGCTTGCCTGGAACTCATAATCCTCCTGCCTCAGCCTCCTGAGTGCTGGAGTATAGACTGGGTGTGAGCCACTAGGCTCAGGCTTTGTGGGGAAAGTAGCTGAGCCTAGTCTATCGGGGCTCCCGTTCCTGACTCTGCTAGAACTGAACGCTTATGGAACAAAATGGCATACTCAGAACAAGGGCTCTCATGAGAACCAGCATCTAAAAAAGCTCAGAATGGTCACCGCAGGAAGCGCGGATGGCACTGTCATGTGTCTATCGGACGGAGCCAGGCCAGAAAGCCTTGAGAACATTGCCGGTTTCTTCCTTATTTTCTTATTTTCTCTTTTGAAACAGGGTCTTACTATGTTGCCCTGGCTAGCCTAGAATTAACTACACAGACCAGGATCGCCTTGAATGCACAGAGACCAACCTGCCTCTGCCTCCCACAAGCTGATGTCACAGGCATGCACTACCATTTACCACTCCCCCCTTTTTCTCCTTTGAGACTTTGCAGCCCAAGCTAACCTGAAATTCACAACTGTCCAGCCTCAGCTTTCTGGAGTGCTGGAATTACAGGCAGGAGTCACCACTGTGTCTGCTGAGACTCTTTAATCAGATGTTGGGAAGCAATCATCCGGCGTGAGGGAAGAAGGAGCTAAAGAATTTACTTTCCAGACATAGCTGTGTCCCCAGTTACAGCCCAGTTACACTCATCATAAAGTTTTACCGTCTAGCTGGAAAATATAAA